GTGTGTGTGTGTGTGTGTGTGTGTGTGTGTGTGTGTGTGTGTGTGTCGGCCAGATGGGAGAAATCAGAGAGCAATGTTAGTGGATTATTGATATGGATTATTCATTAGCTAAATCAATTAGATAAATTAGACCGTTAAATTGAGATTAAAATAACAAGCTGAAGCAAACAGACAAACACAAACTGGATTTTGATCCTTTTTGGTAGCATGAAAGGTCAAAGGGGCTTTAAGAAATGCAATTCACATTTTCAATTTCACTTGGGGTGTAAAGATTAGTGGTTCAAGTCACTGAAAGGGATCAGGGATTCTAATGAAAAAGCTGTTGAACTGTTTTATTTTATTTTTGTTGTACCCACTTTCTCTTTCTCTCTTTACCTATTTTCCCCTAAAAAACCCTCCCAAGTGCAAAGATCCAAAAGAAGCATCTGCGCTCGCAATCCGCCCAGACCTGCTGATAAAACCAGTGAAAGCATCGCTGCTGTAATTTTGAATGTGAGGTATAGCTCTATTCATGTGTGTGAGAGGGTGTGTGGGTGCGTGGGCATATAAAGTGTGGGATGTCAGAGTGAGAGGAGAGGAGAGGGAGCTCAACAATTAAACACACACACACACACACACACAGGTTGTACACTGTGTGAAGTGGTCGGAATGAACCTTTACTGCCATTATGAGGAAGAGAATAGTCACCGTTCCTGCCAGGCTGAATAGCTGCCGGTTGGCTTGGGCTGTAACACACACACACACACACACACACACACACATCAGTTTTTATCCTCTTCACATGCACAGGCACAAACAATGACTATTAAATGCAAATGGATGTGGATAGCCCTTCACTGTCTGCGCTGTAATGACTAGGACAGTTGAGTAATGAGGTTGGCGAGACGTTAAACAGGTACAATTAGCGCAGGAACACACATTCACACACACACATTCACTGCAGCACAGGCTTAGCCACAGATGAGCAAGGTTGGCGGTTTAATCCAGTTGGAGGACAGACAGCAAGGCCAGAAAGAAAGGGACAAAGACGACAAGAGGGGGGAGAAAAGAAAGAAAGAGGGGAGAAAACAGCAAGAGTGGGTTAGATTTAGATTGGGAGGGGGACATTTTCAGGGCTTGGCAGTGAATCAATTCAAGGCATTACCAGCAGCGACACCAAAGAGACCTGGTAATCACCAGTTAAATAGACCGTGTTACCTCAAGGTCACACACCTACTCACACACAGTCAGGAATGAAACCAGACAGCGGTGTGAAAGATCGTAGACATGGCACTATTTCGCATGAATTCACTCGCTTCAGATTCATCCTTGAATGTACATCTTTTAAATTATGTCAACAACCTCACACCACCTCCTCTTTGGCAGCACCACACAGTTTGAGTCGTATACTGTGCACTGTGACTTTATTGACTGTTTAGGGAGCTCAGTGGAAGCTGGCAAATTGTGTGCGCATTGATTTGACTTAAATGAGGCTCCTGCAGGCTTCCATTTTTTGAGTCCTTGTGTGGCTGAGCAAACTGACTACCTGATGACTATGTTCATTTCCATTGGACCCAAAGGCTTATTTTACCACCAAAATGTTGACCCGGGACACTATAGAATCCCACACACTGTTGCTCACTCGTACTCACATTATAGACAACATAAATAAAAGGATAATATGGTTTCTATGAGTTATTTTGGGATAGTGGGAGTCACGCGTCGTGCCACTTTGCGAAATTCACCCCATATAGCCCAGCGCTATTGCTGACAAACTCCGGTCTCCTGCATGAAAGTATGAAACGCTACATGCATGCATGTACGTATAATAAGAACCGGATACGCCGGCGCTGCTTAGCCTTGCTTCAAATTTCTGGATAAACAGCAGGTCGCTGTTCTGACACACACACACACACACACACGTATCCTTTCTCCTTTAAAAACCCTTCTCTGAAAGACATTTCTGAAACATAAGCCCCATATACTCTGGGACCAACAACTCACCCCTGATACTCCTTTGTGTCTGTGAGGTAAAAACTGGCAGCAGAACCTGTTATTTTCCACATGTCTGGGTTATAAGCTACAGCTGCGATTTAGCTCAAATCAACCGTGGTGCTGAGGCACTGTGGTCTGAGCACAGTCTGATTAGTTTGACCTCGTGTTTGAAGGTCTGTCTGAAGCATCGCAAGACGTTGTTTCTACGACTGGAACAACCTAATCAGTGTTTGGCTCATTAGATATAAATTATTTTAATTAACGGGAGATAAAATCAATAGAGGACGAAGCTAAGAGAGGAGAGGAGAGGAGAAGAGAGGAGAGGACAACAGTTTATATTTATGATGTAGCTGACAACAAAAGGAAGGAGAGAGCATCAAGTGGAGCAGAGGGAATGAGAGAATGCTATGAAAAGGGAGGAGAAGTCAGGAGCTAAAGGAGATATATAGCCTGACTAATATGGACAGTGTGGATTTCCATTTTAACCTTGAGGAGGAATAAAAATCCGATACACACAACCAGTGGCAGTCACACACACACACAAGTGTGACTCATATACAAGTCTCTGGTAAGATGCTACATCCTGCACGAAATCCTTAAAACTCTCCAATCATCTGTGGAGTGAAAAATACAGCACGCAGTACACCACATTATACTCCAATTGTTCTATAATTGACTCTGTTATTGTTTGAAATGTCTTATATAAAACAAAAATAAGATGGAGAAAGAGATCCGGGCAAAAAAAAAAAAAAACAAAGAAAAGAAAAGCAAGACGTGTGTTTTGTGTATAATCTGTGAAGTGGTAGGGATCAATTTCAGCAGCGGCCATGCAGGGCGGTTTGGCCATGGCCTTCATAAGAGGCTCAGACCGGAGCAGTGGGGGGGACAATTTCACCCAATTTGTCTGGCCACTAATGCATTCATCTCTGGACAGCAGACGCACTCGGGATGTTTAATTTTAAAATGCACTCCATGTAAGATCACCCATTACACAGTGACAAAGTGGCATCAATCCTGTTACCACAAGAGAAGAGCAGAGAAAGTCAATCAGGTAAAGAGTCAAATCAGATCACCTCAAGTTACTTTTGGAATACTTTGCTTCTGAAAACAACACACCAAGCTACTTACAGAATGAAATTTGAATACATCTATCGGAATTTAATTCGACCAACTTTGCCTCTATGTATATGCGGCAGGAGTTGTTAGCCGTGTTTGCATTGTTGTTATTGTCAGTTAGAAAGCCATTAAATGTGGTCCAGACATTCATGTTCCCCTCAGAATGAATCGTAATGACTAAACTAAGAGAATACAGATACAACATGAGACAGTATGCTGTGCTCTTTAGTTAAAACAGGTTGACATCAAAAGTAAGCCTCTAACAAGTGTTCCAAATGCGTGTAAAACACAAAGAAAATGTCTCCAAAACAACTCTGATATTGTAAATGTGGCGGCTGAAGAACAGACAGCTGAGACACTCCACTTCCGAAACACTGCCAGTGGACATTTGGACCACAACAGAAACAACTTGTGGCTCAACTGGAACGTGATGCAGCATCCGCGGTCAGAAAAGATCTGGTATTAACAGCAACTCATTACATCCCTACTCGGAGAACTTAGACATGTATTCAAATTGCCTTTTTTAGACCATGCCCCGACTGTTTACACACCTATATAGGCATGTGATGTCATCATTTATGTCAAAGAGGACCAATCATGAAAAACTCACTTTTTCAGTGCTTGTGCACGTACATTTTGGGTATCTGGAGTGTCCAACAACCCACAAACTTGTGAAATAAGACAAACCAGTCAGTTTTTTGAGGGCCGCCTACATCAGAAAACATGCGATTCAATGAGACATTCAGATTTGGCTTCCCTTCCTATGTCACACGCACACTCATAACAATATACCTCCCCCTATCTGAGTATCTACACCTATGGCTTGAGAACTACCTTCGCAAAGGTGCACCATGTTTTTTCTCAGAAGCCAAACAGAGCAGACTGGGCTTCTTCGAGGATTGGGGGCTTAAAGGGACAGGCGCTCAAACAGAGTGTTTCAGACAGAGGGTGAATACAGGTATATTCAGACAGACTGTATGAGGAAATATGTGTTTTGTGTAAAAATGTGCTAGTAGAAACTCCAAATACAAGTATCAACCTGAAAATGAGTATATTATGTCCCCTTTAACATTCAGCTGACTTTATTTGTTTTGTACAAAGAAAGCTTTTCAGGACCCTGGGGCCAAGCCAAACCATCGATAATGTCTTGTGAAATGCCACAAGCACTTAGAAGAAAAAGCGAAATACTAGGAGTGAAATCCATTTTGTTCTACAAATTATAACAAGTATTCCACTGAAAAATACCCATTGCTGTCTCCAGCATTAGGAAAGGCTGCAGTATATCTGGTGAGAAATACACTAATGCCAGTGCAGAAGTAGTCGATGTGGCCTCCATTCCTGAAAAGAGCCAAGACCTTTCTGCCGGACACGTGACGATGCAGAGTCAAATTGTCCATTATGTAGGTGTGAGCGTCCGATCCCACCTCATTCCTGTAATGATAATGGCTTCTCGCAGTTAGCTGTTAATTACTGCTGCTGCCCGTATGTGTGTGTGTGTGTGTGTTTTCGTTCATTATGCCGAGCACGCTCAACGAGTTTGTGCAGCCATGAGTGTAACAAGGCCCCTCTCTGCTGCAGAGAGACCAAGACAGAGTAAAGGAGAGAGACAAAGTTAGATAGAGAGTCTAGGTGAGTCCCTGAGTCACCTTTAACCACCAGCACACACACACACGTATTATTACGCACACACACACACACCCGGTGTGGCGAGGTGACATCAGAGCAGTTGATTTCAGTGGTCTGTACATGACACAGGGAATTACACAGGCATCAGATCATTGACACTACTAATGTTAAGACCGGGAATTAACCCCCTTAAACACAACTTCTGACCCGAACCGCACAGATTGTGAATGCACACACGGTTTTCTTTGGAAACGTAACATTTACAGTAATTATTAATATCTGACACTAACACCATGCGCACCAACTACAAATACACACACATATTCCTACGCAAGAATAATTTATTTATGTTCCCATAAATTTAAACATATCCTGCCTGAAATCAATTAAGATGCAGATTTCTCTCACACGGCACCCGAACAAATCTCCTCGGCCTCCTCTTGCCTTTGCCCAAGAGTGAAATATACGAGTCTCTGGAGCTCTCGGCCAAGCCCTGCATTAAATTACTAACGCTGAAATATTAAATGCAGGCATTTGAGAGGAGCGTAAACATCCAAATATGGGGCTGTGGTGACTGAAGGTCCTGTCATTGTGTCTGTGCACTGCACATCCAAAAATCACTTGTCAATAAATGAACCAGAGTGGGCTGGGACTCTGTCACCCTTTGCTTCTTTCAAGTTTTCTGTAGGTTACACACTTGAACTCCAGCATTGTCATCTGTAAAGGGTTTGACATTATCCACATTATCCAGATCCCCTGTGGCCTCCAAGTTTCAGGTCTCTCTTTAAAATGAGACTGTATGTTTCACTTAGATTACCCGTCTAAAAAAAAGGTTAAATAAAGAAATATCTTTTCATTTATTCCAGTGGCAGTTAAGGAAGACTGTGTTGAGTTGCATTAAATTGTATTTTCTGTATTGTTTTTACATAAGTCTACATCTGAGCCATCAAAAATGGACTTTGGCCGCCAAATAAAAGGGCCCGTAGGGGCCAGTGCTTGGAAACATTAG